TATACATGTGTAGTTATTCAGAACATTTACATGTTAGTCATGTTGTAAAAGAAAAACATAGACAAAAAACCCTCAAGAAAAATAAAAACAAAATAGCGTGCTTCAATGTGTATTCGGACACCATCAGTTCTTTCTTTGGCGATGGATAGCATTTTTCATCGTAAGTCCTTCAGAGTTGTAATGACTTAGATTCTAGAAGGAGAACAGATTGTGAGCCCTTTGGTGTCAGTAAGGAGCAAAGGAAGACAAAGATTTTGGCTCTGTGTGTTTGGCCCCATAAAGAAATACCTCAGGCGAGAAGAAAAGAGGAACTTATTGCTTAACCTTGGAAGAAGTTTATTTCAACATAGAACTGGGAGTGGGGCTCTCTTGATCCTCGCAGTTGTCTAGCCAGGCAAGGGTAGGTTAAAAAACAAGAAAAAAAAATTAGTAGTACAAATATATTCAAGTGAGTAGAAGACTGGGCTAACAGGCTGTAGGAGGAAGACTGGGTTTTGAGAGGGAAGAAGAACAGACTGTAGATATAATGGTAGAGATAGTGGATTGTCATCTGTGATTTCATTAGTATAGGGAACTCCTAGATGAGGAAACTTCCTCTACCATTGCAGGTCAGCTTTTTCTCTGCAAGTTAAATTAGTGTAAATTAGAGAATTGCCTGGAACACTGAGAGGCTAAATAGAGATCACTGAGAAGCTTGAGGTCCCACGGCCAGTATATGTGTAGGTAGGAAGATTGGGGGCAGGGAGGCCTTGAACCCAGGTCTTCCTGGCTTCAGGACTGACTATTCACTATACCACACTGAAATAGAGGAATTTAAAAGAATACCAAATTTAACAAGATTAAATGGAAAACCTAAACAGCCTGATGAATTTAAAATTGAAGTCTTATCAGATATTTGAAGAAAAATTAACACTTCTGCTACAAAAACTTAACAAAAATGTAGAAAGAAGATACTTTCCAAATTCCTTATTTGGAGTAAATATGGTTTTTACCTCAACTAGAGAGGGAGACAGCAGAGAAACAAAGTAGAGATCAATATCACTAATAAATATTGATGCAAAAGTATTAACTATAGGGGCAGCTAGGTGGTACAGTGGATAGAGCACCGGCCCTGGATTCAGGAGGACCTGAGTTCAAATCCAGCCTCAGACACATAACACTAGCTGTGTGACCCTGGACAAGTCACTTAACCCCATTGCCTAACCTAAAAAAAAAGTATTAACTGTATTAACAGAGAACATAGAGCTATCATTAAAAGATATACTTTTACCAGGAATGTAATGATTTTCCAATTGTAGGAAAATTTTTTCCACAGTTGTATAATAAGTAATAAAAACAACATTGTGTCAGTGGAGGCAGAAAAAAACTTTGAAAAAATACATCAGTTGTGTTTAAAACACTAAAATGCAAATAATGAAAATCACTATTCCTTAGTGTGATCAAAGCTTATAATCTATAATCAAGAGTTAGCACTATTTATCACAGAGAACATCTCATTTACAATCCCATCTCTGTCTTGGTATTGCTAGCACTCTGATGCAGGCTCTTGTTACCTCACACATGGAGTCTTCCAGTAGCCTTCTGGTTGGCCTCCCTGCCTGGAGTCTCTCCTCATTTTAGCCTATCCTCTACTCCCTTATCAATATGATTTTCCTAAAGCACGGGTCTGACCATGTCTTTGCCTTATTCAGTGAACTCCAATGGCTTCCTATTGCCTCTAGGATACAAAACTTTGGTTTGGCTTATAAAGCCCTCCATAACTTGCCCCTTCCTGCATTTCCAGGAGGAAATCTGACACTCACCCCCAAATACTTTTCAGTCGGTGACACTGGCTTCCTTGCCGTTCCTCATAAAAGGCATTCCACCTCTGGACTCATACATTTTTCTTCATTATTACTTATGAATGAAATGTTCTCCCTCCTCACTTATTCCTGGTTTTCCTAGTTTCCTTCAAGTCTCAGCTAAAATCTCACTTTTCACAAGCCTTTCCTTGGTCTCTTTATCTTCCTTCATGTTACTGTCTTCCCTCTGTTGATTATCACTAAATTATCTCATATATAAATAAATGTGTATACTTATATATACATATTTATATGTATGTATGTATATATGTATGTATGCATTAATGTGTGTATATGTATATGCACACACATATAGACAAATATATTATTTGTACATAATTGTTTCTATCTGGTCTCCCCATTAGACTGTGAGCTCCTTGAAAGCAGGGACTGTTTTTGCCTTTTTTTTTTATGTGCCCAGTACTTAGCATAATTCCTGGTACATAGTAGATGCCTAATAAATGCTTCTTGACTTGGAGAAACACTGGAAACTTTTCCATTAAAATTGGAAATAATGCTAAAATATTTCCACTATTAAACATAAGTAGGAAAATGTTTAGAGAATCAGCCCAGGAAGGGAGGAGATAATTATCTCATTTGCAGATGATATAATAGTTTACTTAGAGATCTCCAGAGAATTAATGTTTAAAAATCTAATAGTGATATTAGCCTCAGTAAAATAGAAGAATAAAAAAAATTATATCACCAGTCTTTCTGTATACATTACTAACAAAATGACCCTTGCATCCCTGGTTCCACTTGGTTATAATAAATAATTTCTTGAATAAATTATTGTAGCCTGACAGGATTTAATTGTTTGAGTCAATATTCATGAATGATATTGGCCTATAGTTTCCTTCTGTGTTTTTTCTTTCCTTGGTTTAGGCATTTGGACTATATTTATCTCATAAAAGGATTCAGGTAGAGTGTTTCCTTTCTTAATTTTTGAGAATAATTTGTGAAGTATTGGTACTAATTGTTCTTTGAAAATTTTATAGAATTCTCCTATTAATCAGGGCCAGGATTTTTTTGTTTTGTTTTGTAGCTTTTTAACAGCTGCGTCTGTTTCTTTTTTTGAGTTTTTTGAGACCTCTATCTGGTCTTCTGATAGTAGTAGTATTTGTGTTTTTGGAAGCATTCCTTTATTTCGTGTTTGTAATTTTGTTAACATATAACTGCATATGTTCTGATTATTATTTTTATTTCTTCTGGTTTTGTTATGATTTCATCTTGTTCATTTGTTACTTTATTAATTTGATTTTCTGCCCTATTTTTAATCAGGTTAGTCTTTTTAAAGAACCAGCTTTTAATTTTAGTTATTTTAATTTTTTGTTTCCAATTTTTCCTTTTTTCTTATTTTTAATATCTTTTCTTTTGTGCTTATTTTAGAGTTTTATTTTATTTTTAATTTGTTGGCTTTCTAATTTTTAATGCATATTCAATTCAATAGTCTTTCTTTTTCTGTTTTTTTAATTTATGATTGTAGAGGTAAGATTTCTCCTTGAGGACTGCTTTAGCTGCATCTCAGAAATTTTTGTATGTTGTTTCCTCATTATAATTTTCTTTCACATAATTATTAATCATTTCTGTGTTTTTCTTTGACCCATTTGTTATGTAGGATTTTTATTATTAAATTTCTATTTAGGTCTGTGTTTTTTTGTTTGTGGTCCCTAAACTAATGACTAATTTAATTGTGTTATAGTCTGTAATAGATGCATTACTTTTTCTTGCATTTTTGTATTTGTTTTCGTTATCTCTGTGCTCTAGTACAAGTCAATTTTTGTAAAAGTTCTATGTGGTAGTGGTGAGAAATAGATATAATCTTTTGCAGCCGCATTTAGAATACATCATAAGTATTTTAACTTTAGTTTCTCCAGCAGTTTGTTCAGTTCCATATTTTCCTTTTTGTTGACCTTTCTTTCAGACTTATCCAAAACTGAGAAAGGGATATTGAAATCTCTGTCACTATTGTGTTATTGTCTATGTCTTCTTATAGATTAATTAATATATCCCTGATAAATTAAATTAAGGTGCTGGGCATTTGGAACATATAAGTTAATTATCGATATTGGTGTTCTTTCCTGCTTTTATCTGATTATTTAATTCTTCTCCTTCCCCTTTTTTTCTTTGAGTCAAATAGATTTTCTCTTCGCTTTTTCGTCCTGTTCATTAGTTTTTAAAATTTTACTTTTTTGTGACCATTTCCCAGAGAGGGTTTCTCTCACTTTCTTCATTATGTATCTTCTCTTTCTTTCTAAACTAGACCCGCATTCTCTGGTTCGTAACCGCTATAATTATCTAGTGTCTCTCTATTCTCTGTATTCTTCATGAAATCAAAATTCACAACTATTCATCCTGGGCTCTCTCCTCCAGGAAGGAGGTCAGGATAGGGGGCAGTTCCTGGGTTGTTTTTTTTTTTTTAATCTTATTTTGGATTTCTGACTGTCATCATGGAGACAACTGAAGTTGCTTTATCTGTGGCACATAATTTCTGGCTTGGAGAGGTTTGAGAGGTCAAGGGATTCAGGAAAAAATATTTAGTTCTCCATCTTGTTGATTATGTAACCCAGAAGATCTGATCAAATCTTTTTACCATTTGTCTATAGAGAATAACTCTTGTTCCTATATAGGGAATTAACAAAAGTATCTTTCTTGGATATCAGACCCTTACCAAAGATACTTGATGCAAAGATTTTTTTTTCTCAATTGAAAGTTTCCCGTCTTATCCTGTCTTTATTATCTTATTCACAAAATGCTTTTCATTTTCATGTAATTGAAATCTTCTCTTTTATCCTTTGTACACTCCACTGTCTCTTATTTGGTTAATAGTTCTCCCCTTAGCCAAAGCCATGAAAACTTCCATCGATTTTCCTCCAGTTATTTTTTGTGATCTTTTATAACTAAATCCTATATCATTTGGAGCTTACTATGATATCAAAATATTAACACAGAGCACAGAAATTTCCACATAATCAAAACAGAGCTTTATTATCTATGGGAGAGAGGGAAAGGAGGGGATAAGCATTTACATAGTGTATTTGCCATTTTATTTAATTCTTGAATTTTCAGTATTTTATACTTTTGTTGTTTATTCTCTAGTTTTTAAATTGTATATTGAATACATTAATTTTCTCATTTCTTATTTTGTTATCTTTTCAGAGAGATAATTTTTATTCTTGGAATAGCTTTAGCTGCATCCCCAAAATGTTGGTATGTTGTCTCACTGTTACTGTATTTTATCATAGTTGTTAATTTTTCTATAAATTATTCTTTGCCTTTCTTATTATTCAGGATTTCTTAAATCTCCATTTATATCTGAATATGAATCTTTTGTTTATGTTCCCTGTGTTATTATTATTTTATTAATTGTGTTGCAATCAATAACAACCCCTTATTTGTAATTAATTATTTTTGTTAATTATTGATAGTTATTATTCATTTTAATGTGTTATGGACTATAAAGGATATATTTGGTAGTACAGCTTTTGTACATTTGTTTTTAATTTTTGTGCATTAGTACCTGGTCTGTTTTGGCAGAGGTACTATGTAATTCTGAAAAGATATGTGTGCTCTTTAATCTTCTCATTTAGAAGACTATAAATCTTTCAAATAGGATTTCTCCAACAATGCATGCAGTTTTGTATTTTTATTTTTCTTTATACTTGTTAGATTTATCCAGTTTGGAAAAACGTTGAAAGTTCCTAGTTACTGTGTTATTGTCAATGTCTTTTTGAGTTTAGTTAACTTTTACTTTATGAATTTAGATGTTATAATATCTTGTACCGGTATATCAGTGTTGTTTTGGTTCACTGACTAGGGTTCCTTTTAAGCAAGGGTTTTTAACCAGGAGTCTGTAGATAAATTTCAGGGAGATCCATGAATTCATTTTTAAAATAGTTTGTTAATTTTAAATATAATTATTTTCCTTTATAATTCTATGTATTTTAACTTTTGCATTTAAAAAAATTTTGAGAATGGGTCTGTAACATGGGGCAAGTAGGTGGTGCAGTGGATAGAGTACAGGCCCTGCAGTCAGGAGGACCTGAGTTCAAATCCGGCCTCAGACCAAACACTTGACACTTACTAGCTGTGTGACCCTGGGCAAGTCACTTAACCCCAATTGCCTAAAAAAGGGAAAAAAAAAAAAGAGAGAATGGGTCCATAACCTTCACCATACTGCTAGAGACATTCATGGCCCCCAAAAGGTTAAGAACACTTGTTTTAAAGTATAATGTAGGGAGCAGCTAAGTGGCAGCTAGGTGGCACAGTGGATAGAGTACTGGCCCTGAAATCAGGAGGACCTGAATTCAAATCCAGCCTCAGACACACAAGGCTCACTAATTGTGTGACTCTGGGCAAGTCACTTCACCCCAATTGCCTCACAAAATTTTTTTTTAACTTTTGCTTTTTCTGATAGTATGACTATGATTCCTTTGGAATCATCTGATACATATTAAATTTCGTCTAGCTTCTTGTTTTTGTTCCATGTGTCTTTATTTTTTTTTAATGTGTTTTTTAAGCACAATATATTGTTGAATTTTTTTCTTATCTGTTCACCATTTTTCTTTCATTTTATTGAGTTACTTAATGCATTCATTTTTAAAGCTATTATTGTGAGATTTTTGTCTTCTTCCATTTATTTCTTTTGTATTGATTTTATCCTGTCTTTAAGTCAGTACCTTGATCCTACTTAAACTAATTTGGTACTCATATATTCTCACAAGCTTTTCCCTTCCTCATTCTCTTTTATTTGCCCTATCCCAAGTTCTTTAAACTTCCTTAAATATTTAATTTTGCTTTCTCACTATTTATCTGTTATCTTCCTTTTTCATCCTTGCCATTCCCTGCCAAGGTAAGCATGTGATTCAAAATCCTCCATCTCCATCCCCAACTTTTTTGTTTAAGTAATGTTCTTAAGTAACATTCATTAGAGTATAAGCTCCTTGCGAGTAGGGATTATTTCATCCTTTGTATTTCTATTCCAACACCTAGCCCAGTGCATAGAGCACATCTCAGTAAGTACTTGTTTTTTGATAGATTGTGATGTCTTTTTCCAAAAAGATTTTCTTTTATGGAAAATGCAATCCACATCCAGAAAAAGACTCTGGAGTCAGAATGCAAATTGAAGCGCACTATTTGCTCTCTTTTTTTTTGTTTGTTTTTTCTTTCTCATGGTTCCTCCCATTGGTTCTAATCCTTTTTTACAACATGACTAATATGAAAATATGTTCAATATCAATGTATATGTAGAGCCTGTATCAGATTGTATGCTGTCTTTGGGAGGAGGGAAAGGAGGAAGGGGGAGAAAATTTAGAACTCAAAATTTTATGGAAGTGAATGTTGAAACTAAATTGAATTGTTAAAAAAAGTTTTCATTCACTTTTTCCTCTTCATTTCTTTCCTCTTCTTGATTCTGAATCCTGTTCTTCCATTCTTGGACATATTTATTCCTTATTTATTTTATATTGTAAGAGGTGGAGCTTCTATATATAAACTCCCATTGATATATTCCTGTTTTTATAGATCTCACTCCATATCCCTTCTCCTTGTATATGTTGATTTACTTTTTGATTGGCCCATCTTTTTTGGGGGGTGGTCATTCTCATTCATGATAAAATTAAACTCCAGGTCTATGTCTTCACTGTCACTTTGGTGCTGCTGGCCGATCCTGGGAACATATAAATAAATTCCTTTTCTTAGGTAGCATAACATTTAGATAAAGTAGTTTTGTGTTATGGCTATTCTTCCTGTACAAAATCCATTTTAAAGCCCTTCACTCTCACCACAGACTTACACTCTCCTTCCCACCCCACTGCCACTGCCATGGGAATATTCTTTAATGGAAGCCTTTTATTTGCTCTTCTAGCATGAGATATGCTTTCTAATCCCACTATCCTGATACTCCCTTCCATTACTTCTACTCTACATCAGCAAGTCCCCAACCCCCACATACTTTTTGAAAAACTATCAGTTAATTTATAGGGGAGCATTGAATATGTCCACTGCTCTTAATCCTTCCTTTATGATGTTTAAGATTCTTTTAACTCTTTACCATATATATTCTTTTTGTCTCTTGATAATCTTTTTTTTCTTTTACTTCTCAATCCAACTTTCTTTTTTTTTTCTTTTTTGGAGTTAACAGTTGCCTATAAACAAGATAGAATTTATTTCATTGCTTTGGCTTTTCTTCTTAATTACATTTACTGTTTCTTGTGTGTCTCTCTCTCTTGAGTTAATTCTCTGTTTGCCTTTCTCTCTGTCTCTGTGCATTTCTCTCTTAATAGCTGTCCTAATCAAATGTACTACCCTGTTTTTGTTTTTGATAAACGCATCCATTTTGTTCCCAACTCCACTAGCTATCACTTAACGCCTATTCGCCTCAGTTCCTCATTTGAAAAATGAAGCGGAGAAAGAAATGGCAAATCATCCAGTATCTTTGCAAGAAAACCCCAAATGGGATCACAAAGAGTTGGACACAACTGAACAACAAGAAATCCATTTTGTTGCAGGTCCATCTTTTTTTTAGTGATGATTAGGCTCAGCTTTGGAGGATATTTTGCTTGTGGTTGCAACCTGAACTACTTTGATTTTTTTTTATAAGAAACTGTGATGCTTATGCACAGCTTGCTTTTCCTTTGAGTATTTAATAAATTCAACATATAGCTTTTCAAGCTGTCCTGTTTTCTTGCTTTCCTTCTGTTGTCTTCTGTGCATTTATTTAAAATGTCCTTGACCCTTTTTTTTCTTTCTTTCTTTTTTGGCAACTCTACTCCTTTTTGGAATATCTTACTCTTTTGTCTGATATCTTCTGGCTGCAGAATCCTTCTAAATTATTCAAGTAGCTGAAGACCCTTTTTCCTGGCTGCTTATAAAATTTGTTGTTTAGTACTGAAATTCTGAAATATAACTAATTACATGCCTTGGAGCTTTAAGTGTGAGGTTTTTCTCTGTTGGCAGTCTGTAGATTCTATCCATCAGTATTTTAATGCCTGTATTCAAAAGCGATGGATGGTTTTCTGGAATTGTTTCCTGTATTTACAGTATTCAGGTCTTTTAATGTAGTATATGTTTTGGGGAATTCTTTGAGCCTTAAAGTTATTTCACTTTATCCTTTAGTTAAGGTCAGTCACTTTGGTTTGTACAGAATTCGTTTGATCAAAGCTATTGTTTGCTTTTCTTTTGCAAAATTTATTTCCACTTTGGTGGAAAAGTTCCTAATATGTCCATTGTTTTTTCATAACCTCTGCAACTTTGAGGATATTCTTTTTCCATTGTATGCTTTAGTTCTCTGCTTTGCTGTTTGTATTGTTTAATTCTATATTGAGAACTTTGTTTCACTATCTAGTTACCACCCTACTACCTTCTTTAAAATATTTGATTTCTCTTTTGAGCAGGTCTGGAGTTTCTTGCTGTTTTTCTGTGATCTCTGAGAAATCTGTAGTATTCTTTTCCATTTTGTATTTTTGGTTTTTCTTTGTAGTATAATACTTGTTCAGTGTTTATGGTCCTTTTTGTTTACTTGTTTTTACTAATCTTTCCTGTCTTTGAGTCTCATTGTTGTTTTATCTGTGCTGGAGCTATGCTTGTACCCAGCCTTTTTTTCTTGGACTTTTTGTTCTTTAGTCTTTTTTTCTCTTCAGAATAGCTTGTCTCTGGTACCCCTCCTCCCCCTTATCTCTTTTCCCCTCTACTTCTCTGATGTACTTTCTGCCACACACACCCCTGAATCTAGTGCATCAGCTTCCTCAGGTTATGGGGTTTGGGACCCTGGTTGGATCCTTGCCCAGGGTAAAGTCTTGATCCTTGGGTGGTTTCTGGTCTTCTGCACCTCTCCCCTGTCCCCACCCAATTTATATTCCCTGTCCTTCCCATGGCTGAGCATCATCAATATTTTCAACCTCTTGTGGATTGGAGGGGAGCAGAACTTAGAATGAATCCTTGCTATTGAGGAATTTGGCAGTGCTCTTTGGAGAGCTTTGGAGAGTTAGAATATGAAACATGAGCCTGGGACATTGCTCAAACTAAGTTTTGTCCACTACTTTGTGGACTGAGAGTGGGGAGGATAGGTAGAAGCATCAAGTATTTTAATTTCTTGTATTGTTTAATGAGACTTTTTCCTCCATTGCTGTTTAACTTCTTAACTTGTAGATTCAGCAGTAATTATTCTAGATTTGGCCCACTCAAAAGGTTGGACTGGTTTGAGGAAAATAAGTATTCATTGCCTTTAATCATATGACTAGGCCTCATGTCCAAGATTATAGTTTTATAAACAAGGTATGTTTTGGAAAATTATGGTCAATATTTGGATCAATTTAGTATTCAAATTATATAGTCTACTTACTCTGAAACACATTTTCTTTATTTTCAGTTAACTCTAATACAATAATTTTCCTAGATTGGCAATTATACAGTTGTATTACAAAATTAAGGATCTACCAGTGTAATCAGATTGGACACAGATATTCACAAAAATGCCTTAGGACCATGGAAAGATGAATAATCCAAAAAACATTCTTTTTCTTGTACTGTTGAACCTCATTTGCTGGTATTATTGCTTCAGAAAATCTACCGGTGTTTTTAAAGGTTCTGTTTGTTCGAAAATGTTATATATGCCACATTGTTTAGAAATACATATTGTAATTTTTATTATGTTTATATATGCAGACATACAAAAGATGTGTATGTACATATGTATACATATATGTTATATATTGTAAATTTTAATACTTAACCTGATTTACGATTTTTTATTGATAGTGTCCAGAGGATGAAGGTTCTGCAAAAGAAGATGTAATTCCTATTACTAAATCTCTTGAAAAGTAAGTGTATTCTTATTTATAAACATTAATGTTAGTTAAAATATTTAATAAATATGTTGGTGGTTAACTTATCAGCTATTCTCTTGCCTAAAAAAACATTGCAAGTTCATAAGTGTAACATTGTTGAACATTTTCAAGAACACTATCTGGTTTATTTAAATCTGTTTGGGCACTCGTCTTTAATTGATGACTTAACAGTTTTCTTTGGAGGCAAGCTATTAATAATTCTTATGGAAAATATCTCCATGTAAGGATCCTATAAATAAATCATTGCAAATTCTCTTTTTATAGGTGAGTCACAAAAAAATTTTAGATGGCATGTTTTGATGTACATACAACGACAATTTATATTTATATAACTTTAAAAAGTGAGAATTTGAATACATGAGGCCACTTCACAGAATTCACTGAGTTGCATTGGGACCTAGCTATAATGTATGCCTTATATTTATGTATGTCTCCCAATTCAGCAAACAATTGTTAAAACACTTGTAAAGGCTTTGCTTGCTACCAAAGATAGAAAAGTTTTTTTTTTTTTAAAGATGGTCTACTTACCTTGAGGAGCTTATATTTTACTGGGAAGGGGGAAGATTGGATGTGCACATAGAAAAGTATAATAAAATGTAAGATGTAATAGGCAGATCCAGACTAAGTGCTCTAGGAAAATTTGAGGAGAGGCAGAATACTTATATTTGAGGAGAAGTGGGGAAGACTTCATGGAGAAGGTGGTAGCTGAGCTAAAGCTTGAAGGGAGAGAAGGATTCTAAAATGCAAAGAGGAGGTTGCATTTTAGCCCCACCCCCCGCAATGGCCTCTATGAATGCTTGAATTGTATATTGAATCTAGGAACGGCTCAAAATCTATTTTGGCTGGAACACAGCGTATATGAAGAGGAGTAACGTGTGATGGCTGGAAAGCTTGTGGTGGGCTTTAAATACCAGGCTTAGGAGTTTGTATTTTGTCTTAGAAGCAGTAGGGAGCTGTTGAAGATTTTGAGCAAGGGAATGAAATAGCAGACCTTAGGAAATCCAATGGGTCAGATTTTTATGAAGTTCTTACTATGTACAATAAAGATGATTTTGGCAGCTTTGTGAAGGATGGAAAGAGAAAGGAGAGACTGGAAGAAGAGAAACAATTACTAGACTATTGTAATTTTCCCAGTGAGATGTAATATAAGGATCTGAACTAGGCTGGTGGCAATGTAAATGGAGCATTGGGATTTTTGTGAGAGATCTTGTCCAGATAGAACCACTGAGGATTGGTAAAAGAGGGGGTGGTAAGGTATAAGGAAAAGTCAAACACGGCTCTGAGATGTATGTAACATTTACATGTATATGGTGTATAAATAAATACACATACGGGGCTTTTTGTTTCAAGTTTTATTTAAATAATCTCTTTAAAGACAGAGACAATGTCTGACAGTTTGTACAGAGGTGGATGTGAACCCATATGGTTCTGACTTTGAGGCCAGTATTCTATCCACTAAACTAAATTGTCTCTGTATAAATACTAAAATATCTTTTAAAAAATTCTAATCACTTTTTATTTAAAAAAATTTTTAAACACTGTATTACATAGGTGTTTGTCATGTAGATAGCATATATAACATAATCGATCCTTTTCTTGATGATTCAGTTCATCATTATTAATATCACTTATTATGCTGTGCTGTAATATAAAATGACAACCTTCAGTAGATATTGAGGTGTTTTGAGCTATTTGTCCCTATGCAAAATAATTCCAAATAAGGTTTTGTCTGCTTATTACAATCTGATTTTTTGGGGAGCTTATCCATCAATATCAATTGTCATTTCTCCTCCCTGAGTCTGAAATGTCATTATTGGTGAATGAATAAGTGTAACCCATTTTATCTGGCCAGATCCAGTGCATGCCTTATGTTTAGCTACCCAGACATCTTATCAAAACAGTACTATCATTACTTCTGGAAAGGATAATTGATTGCCTTATGGCTTTATTCACCATTCTTGTGACTGCCCAAACCAAACCTCCCTTCCTTGGTCACCACTTCCTCATATGTGTCATCTCCCCCTATAAAAATGTTAATTACTTGAAGGAAGGGCCTGCTTCACTTTTTAAAAAATGTATATTCCCAGCACCTAGCACAGTGCCTGGTATGTAATGAAAACCAATCTGATCCCTGAATTAAAGGAGCTATCAATGGGGTGTGGGAGGTGGAAGGAGGGGAGATGTACACAGATAAATAAATATATGATAAGGTAGAATGTTATGAGAGCAGGTATGATTGGAGTAGTTTTAGGTGATGTTGAGATTTAAGGCATTTCCACTTTGTACATATGAAGTTCAGTGGAGACGGAAGCCGTGGGAGTTGAAGAAGTAAGGAACTGTTAGAAAGGTATTCAGTATGAATACTGAAATCAGTGAGGATGATGGCAGGTTTTGGGAGAGAAGTTTGTAAGTTAGGTACTGAAGTCACTGAAGAAATTGTCATTGGGAGAATGTCCTAGAGACCCATCATCTCTACACAATGGGAAATGTGACAGTAATAACGGATAGTGTAAACAACATATGAATGCCCTAGAGAGTATGATTTATTTTCATATAATTGAATGTATGCTACCATGCATTCAGATGAAAAATACAGACCTAGAAAATTAGAGGTTCAATGAGAATATCTACTTGTGCAGTTATTATTTTTCTATATTACCTTTCTTTTGAGTAGTGCACAGTAGTTTTTATTTTCTTAAATAATCTTCAGTATATTCTTGCTAAGTAGAGCAGGGACTCACATTATTTCTTTTACTAGAGAGGCAGCAACTAGGGTCAAGAAATTACAGTGTGCACATTGTCTCACACCAAAGAGTTATATTTGCTGAAACTGTACAAAAGCATACTTCTTAAATGTTGGGATAATAACTCTTACCATTTTGCTGTAAAGATTAAAATATTTATGTTCTTGGAATTATTCACAACATTTATAGAATCTAAGATAAATTATTTATTAGTCCCAAATAGTGTTCAAATGCCTTTTTAAAGAACTAAGTTAAAACAAACACAAGTTCTTTGAGGGAAAATGTTCAAAATTAAATAGTCTAACTTAATATCTAGTTATTTCATTTTATATAAGAACTGTGCTATGTATCTTTTCTATGTGCTGAATGAACATTAACTGTATACTATTTATTAGTTTGTTATATTTTATATTTTTTTCAAAAAGGGCTTTGTACCATTTGTCCCGTCTGAGAGAACTAGTTGAAGATACCCGTTGCAAATCGAACCTAATACAATCACGGAAGAATGAAGAGAGAAAAAACTGTCTAACCAACAAAAATTGAGATTTCTTTTTAAATGCTCACAAGTGGGCTAAAATGGATTTTTTTTTGTTATTTCAGAGGTAAATTGTCCTGCTCCCTTAAAATAAAATTCTTAAAATGACATTGTTTTACACCCTAACTTCATTGCATACCCAAATAATAGAACTGAAGATTTATCATAAAGCCCAACCTACCTGTTTTCAGGCTAGCAAATGTTTAAGTCACATTAGATGGATAATTTCTGTTCTTTCCTTCAAGATTTCCACGAATTTTTTTTTGCTATATCCTATTCCTCTGTTTTAGTACCTCAATAAGAAGTCTATTTTCTTATATCTCTGTAGTAGTAGACTGCTTACTATAAACAGAATCCTATTTCATTAAGCTTGACAAATTATAAAAATTTCTAAGGTGATATAATACAAAAAGTATTATGGTGAAAGCTTATTGCTACAGTGTTCACAAGATGCATGATCATTTTTGTTTTCACAAAGCATATATTAAAGGTTTAGGGTATTTGCAAACAAAAACAAATTGAGGAATTAGGAAATGTAGAGTTCAAAAAAAGATTACTAGTTCCATAACAGTTGTACTCTAGGTGCTTCACAGTCCCATATGTTGGTTCCAACTGTATTTGAATTTAGCATATCTGTAGGTTGCTTTCTGTCTATGGGTATTTGGATCATCTACCTCACTAAGCCAAACAAGTTATATGATAATAAATGAATTACTAATGCTTTGAAGGTATTTTTAGGCATATCGCATCATTTCAGGATCTAAATTCTCCACAAATCAGCTTGTTGTGCTGTAGAGGTATTTCTCTGAGCTGATCAGAGCCCCTGATTACCCGAACACCAACCACAGGAAACATCTTTGCAATTTTATTTTAGTGGAAAAGTTTTAAAATGTCTCTAATATAACTTTTTGAAAGACTTGATGTCTTTAATAACATTTGTAGTAGTATCGACATATAGACAATATCTTCCTAACTTATCAAAACAGCATTTTTTTCCAAAGATTTTCTTCCAAAGAGACAGTAACTTTTGAACCCATTATTATACTATATTCCTTATTCAAATAATTCCTTGTAAATACTTCCTAAGATAACAATGACTCACCACCATGCAAAACAAAAGAATAGGCTGTTTCAAAGAATTAGAGTTATGACAAAATTTACACAAAAATCAGGCAAGACTAAATAACACTAAAAAAAAAAAGACACCAAAGTGAGTCCTAACACTAGCAAAGCAGTATTTATTAAAACTGTCTGGTACTGAAAAAAGAATAGAGAAAATCGACTGATGAAACAGAGTAAAGAACCTAGAGATAGAAGCCAATCTGAATAAAAGGTTTTGGGTTTTTTTAATAAATCCATTTTTTAAAAACACTTGGGATTGGTTAAATTAAATCAATAAAACTAAGAAAACTGGGTAGTCATATAGCAGAAAAATAGTTTTGGAACCATACCTCACAAAATACACCACAAAAAAAACCCCACCAATTAATTCAGTGGTCTCAGTATAAATCTGAGAAAAAAGGAATAACATCTCAGCTATAGAGAGGAACAAATAGAAATTGGAGACAAATTTAATGGCTTTTATTATGCAAAGAAAAAAGGATTTTACACAGCAAAGAAAAGTACTCTCTAACATGAAAAGAAATAGGTTAGGAACAATAGTTGCAGTAAAGATATTAGATACAGGTATTACATTTAGAATCTGTAAGGAAATTATACACATCTATAAAACTGACAATTCACTCTGCCTGTTTGGAAAATGGCCAAAGGGAAAGGTAGTCTATTTGTGAATGAGAAAATACAAACATGAAAAGATATGTAAATCTGTAATAGTGAAACTGTAGTCAAGAAAAGCTTAAGATACCAATTTCTACTCCAATAGAAAAAATAGCAAAAAATTAGCAAATCTAGCGTTGGTGGGACTGTGGGAAAAGTAGGCATGCTAATACGTTGCGCATTAGCCCGGTACAAACATACATTTTGGAAAACAAACTTCAGTAAGTCCTAAAACTAATAACACATTTGGACCCAGGTATTCCAGCTTTATCCCAAAAGCATCATAAAAAAAAAAAAACTCATTTGTACAAAATATTCACAGTTTCTATAGTCACAAAAATTTAGAAAAAATACATATCCAAAAAGTGGAGATGGCTGAATAAATTATGATGTTAATATAATGGTTTGTTATGGTAGTATAAACTATAAATGTGAAGCATACCAGGAAATACAGAAATATCTATGCAAAGTGATACAATGTGACGCATACCAGGAAATATGGAAATATCTATACAAAGTGATGTAAGGAGATCAGAAAAACTGGAACTGTATATATTTACTAAAACTATATATATGTATGTATGTATTTATGTGTGTGTGTGTGTGTGTGTGTGTGTGTGTGTGTGTATCCTCACAACAACCCTGGAAAGTAGGTGCTATCATCTGCATTTTTACAATTGAGGATACAGATTAAATTACTTGCCCAGGGTTACACAGATAATAAGTAGGTAAATCTAGCTTTGAATTCAGGTCTTCCTGACCCCAGGCCCACTTTTATCTACTGCACCACCAGTTGTCTCTGAAGGGACACCGAGAAAGCATTTTGTTGTTTCTTTTTTGTATGATGTACTTTGAAAGTATAGATTACTTCATTGTTTGTGTTTATACCCCTCTACATACTTGATGCTTAGTAAATGCTTATTGATGGATGGAATTTATTTAATTCTACCTTAAGTGCTAAAAGTCTATGTAAGATTTTATTCCTTGTTTTGTATGCTTATTTCATTGTTTTTGTAAGCAGTCATTAAATTTATAATAAAAATTCCTTCTGGAGTTAGTCTCACAGAATTATCTTTTTATAATACTTTAATGTCAGTAAGTAGTTTCTACTTATATAAAAGATATACAATGAATCTGATGTCTGGTTTGTCAGACTAAATTTTTTTTTTTTAGGCAATTGGGGTTAAGTGACTTGCCCAGGGTCACACAGCTAGTAAGTGTCAAGTGTTTGGTCTGAGGTGGGATTTGAACTCAGGTCCTCCTGACTTCTAGCTGCCCCTAGACTAAATTCTTAAGATTTATGTTAGAAGCTCTTAAAATGCTATAAAAATGATTGAAAAATAGAGAATATAAATTCTGGGGACATCAGGGTAAAAATCCTGAATAATCAGGTAAAGTAAAAGATTAAGAGCCTAATATCTACAAAATGTATTGACTTGAAGACTAACCAGGTTAATTCCTTACATGTCTTGGACATTTGACATTAATCAGGTATGTTTGCAATGAACTTCCCCCCCACAATTGTTTCCTTAGTTCTAACTGCATTTTCTTTTGCTTCATCACAGGCTTTTTGATTGTTCGTTATCTTTTTTATCATCTCTGTATGTAGATAAGAATTCTCTCCCTTACCAAAGTTGTGAAATGTAAAATCTTACTGCAGTTTTACATGTTGTTGTTGTTGTTGTTGGCTTAAAATTGCTCCAAGGCTTTTGGAACATCTTATATATCTCCTTCCTTTTTCTGCTTAATTTGAGGGGCTTCTGACTGTTGTTTTAAAGGATATTTGGAGTACAACCTTCTGTTTTTCCTGTTTCTAGCTATGAGAAAAGCCTTGATAGTACATATTCTGTTAGTGTGTCACCACACTTTTTATAATGTCCTCTCCCCTCACCCTCCATACAATGGTATCAGGTCCCTTCCCTTCCCTATCCCCCAGCTTTGCAGCCTCCTTTTGTGTGTTGTCCCTATTAGAACATAAGCTCCTTGAGGGCAAGCACTGTCTTTTTGCACATGCTTATATCACACAGTGCTTAGCATGGTGCCTGGCTTAATAATAAGTGCTTGATAAATTCTTGTCTTGTCCAAGAAGTTCGTGCTTTGCATAAGATCAGTATCCTCACAGTAAGTATTCAAGGCAGGATTTGAAACCAGGTCCTCTTGTCGCCAGAGCTACTGCTCTTTTCCTTTCATCAAGCTGGGTTTTTTAAGAAAATAGGTGTTTCTAAAGGACCGATTTGAAGGAGTCTATTCCAGGCATGGAGAACTTTGAGTACAAATGGAAATAGAATGTGACATAACATATAATAAGCCTGGAAAGGTAAGTTAGGGTCAGGTTGTGAGTGGCTTTAAATAACAAATGGGGGAGTTTAGATTATATCCTGGAAGCAATAGGGAGCTGATGCAGTTTACATAGGTTAGAGGTAACTTGGGTAGTTCGGTGTTTTGGGAAAGTTGATTTTGCAGATGTGGTTGGAAAGGGTCTTTGATGAAAAGAATTTCAGAAAGGAAGGTGATGTCAAGGGGCAGCTGAACTCATTTCCCTACGTAGGGCATTTACCTGCTTCTGTAGGACACTTACCTCCCCTTTACAAACAAACCTTACCTACTCACTAAACTGAACTGAATGAAAAATGAATCAGGTAATGCACAAGAGTTGTTCTTGAAAACTTTCATAAGGACCCTAACTTACTTAGATACAAAACTGTTCACAAAATGACAAAGTTACTACTTTCTGAAGTGACAATGAGACATTAAATATAGCTTGTGATTGATAAAATTAATTATTAACACTGTTGTGGTTGAAACGGAAGAAGCAAAAATGCATCTAGTCGCATCAACCAAATCTTTCAGATGAAAATACCAATTCTTTAGCCTGGATGTTTACTATTGAAGCAAAAGTACTTTAGAAATGAGTTTGCTGCTAGAACAGATTGACATTCTTTGATCTGAACGGTGGTAGTACAAGGCAATGCATCTTTGGTGGTTTTTTTAAGGGTTAATTATATATGAGGATTTACCAGATGTATTAACACTTATGTTCTTTCTTTCTGACTGCTTGTAGTATTTTCTTCTTGACCTGGGACCTCTAGAATTTGGCTGTAATATTTCTGGGAGTTTTCATTTTGGGATCTCAGGAAATGAGCAAGGATTCTTTCAATTCCTATTTTGCCCTCTGATTCTAAGATATGTAGGAAGTTTTCCTTTAAAATTTCTTGAAATATGATGTCTAGGCTCTTTTTTTGATCATGGTTTTCAGGTAGTCCAATAGTTCTTAAAATATCTCTCCTCAATTTATTTTCCAGGTCAGTTTTTTTCTCCTATATTTCACATTTTCTTCTATTTTTTCAGTCTTCGAACTTTGTTTTAATCTGTTTTGATGTCTCATGGGATCCTTACCAATTCTGATTTTTAAGGAGTTATTCAGTGTTTTTAGTATTTTTGTTGTTAGTCATTTTCAGTTGTGTCCAATTCTTCATGACTCTTTGGGGGATTTTCTTAGCAAAGATATGCCTCCTTTACCAAGTTGTCATTTCTTTTCCCAATTTTTCCTCTACTGTTATTTGATTTTTTTAAAATAATTTGTTTCCTCTTTTTTTAAAAAAAAATCTTTTTCTTTAGCTATTTTAAGAATCCTTATTGGATTTGTGTCCATTCTGCACTTTTCCCTTTGAGGCTTTGCTTGTAGATTTTTTCAAGTAATTGTCATCTGAATTTGTCTTGAGCTTCCCTGTCACCATGATAGATTTTTATGGTAAGGTTCTTTTTTGTTGTTGTTTGCTCATTTTTTCCAGCCTATTTCTTGACTTTGGACTTTATGTTAGAGTTAGGCTCTGCTCACATTTGGGGTTGGGGGGAGGGATGTCTAGCCTTATCTGTTAACTTTTATGTCCTGCTGCTTTCACAGCTAGGCCTACAGGCCTGTAAGTCTTCAGCACTTTTAAGATGATAAGATGCAGTGAGTGGTCTAGTGACTGCTCTCCTTGTCTGACCTCTTACTTTACTCAGAATTCTTACTCTGGTTCTGGTAGAGCCCAATTCCTCAAAACTGCAGTTGTTCTTCTCTGCATTGGAACCGAGTAATGAGCAAGGGAGACCAATCCTGTACCCAGTGCTATCACGGAGTACACTGGAATATCGTTCTGGTCAGGTATTTGGTCCCCTTACTGCCCCTGAGCATTGGATGGTAGGTGTTCCTACAGCCCACTTGGAAGGCACACAGCCTGTCCCACTTTTCCACACCATGGTCCCAATCAGCCCCCATCCCAGTGTCTTTAGACTTTACTTTCTGTCTTCCTAAGTTGCCTTGGGCTGGAAAAATGACTCACTGTGACTTTTTGTTGTTTTTTCCCATTGAGGATGTGGTTAGGTATAGTTTTTAAAGTTGTTGAGAGGGATGTATTGGGAGAGCTTGGAAAAAATTCTCACTTCATTCCTTTCTCTTGGCTCCAGCCCCTGGAAATATTTCTAAGTATTGATTTGTTTGAAATAGACTATAAGGTTGATTTCTAATGCCACAGAAAAGAAATTCTGATAACTCCAAGGTTATCAGAACTTAAATTATGAAAGACCATAAAATTAATTGCTATATTCAGAAATTATGTGTAAATGACACTAATTAGGCCGACTGCTGAATCCTGGACTAATTAAAGATTCTAATTCTGTGTATTTATTTATTTCCATATGTATCTTCCTCAACATCCCCAGGAGAACAACTTCCTTAAAGGGAGGCACTAATTTTTTTATTGTTACAGTTGTTTTTCTCTTTTTACCCCCAGAACCTAGCACATTTTTTGGCCCAGACTTATGATTTTATCAATGTAGGGAACTCTTGGTGAGGAAACTATTCTAAGAAATTGCCACCTGTTTCACAACTTAAAATCTTTCAGAGCTAATTGAGGCACTGGGAGATTAAGTGAGTTGGCCAGAATCACAACCAGTATGTGTCAGAGGTAGGGCTTGATCCCAGGTTGTCCCTCTTCCCACATGCCATCTCATCCGTGGTACACGGAGACATGAAAGTGCTTGTTGAATGAGTGAATCCACAAATTGAAATTCAGTAAGCATTTAGCACACACACACAGAGGCATTAGAGTAGATAAACATTTAAATAAGACCTGCTCTCATAGAACTTCCAGTCTATTAGGTCTTTGCATAGTTCATATATACATGTGTGTTATGTGTGCATGTGTGTATGTGTGTGTTTATGTACATACTTAATGTATATGATATATACATACTTAATGTATATGATATATACATAAATAATCATTAGTTACTTTGTATTTTGCTTAAATACAAGAGGTGCAAACAAAGTACTTCCTATAGAAAGCACAAAAAGTGAACAGGCTAGAGGAGCTTTGAGGGGGAAAAAATCTGCTTTTTAGAGTGAGGTCACTGTTAAGTGATTATTAATCAGGAGCGACCTATAGACTCTGAATCATATCAAAGTCATATTTCACCAGGAAAGCCTTTGTCTTTTTAATAGCTTTGTTTCAATCATTCATCCTTGTCTTTACTGGGCCACTGTTTCCTGTATTACTAGGGGAGAAAAATCCCAAATGAAAAATAACTATGTAGAAGGTCACTGATGACAACATCCAGAAGTGGG